CTGCCTGGTGAACATTCAGGTCAGACCAGATGTTCTGCTTCTCTGAACAAGGGCTTTGGAATCTTGCTACTCAGCTCTTCCCCAGTTGAGACATCATCCTCATCCTTGGGGCAAACTCTGCACCCAGGTCCAGATATTTTATCAACCATCTTCTGCCCAGGTTATCAGCGGCTGTACCTCCATCCCCACCCCCATACACATTCTGCTTTCCTGCCTATGTAGGTGCCAGTTTGGGCCTGGAATGGAGGGGAGGGGTATGGAGCCAGCCTGGCTCTTGCAAGCACTGGATGAGTAGGAACTCAGGACTCATCATCCTGGTCTTACTGTAAACTATTAGGAGGTATGAGGAGCAGGGTGTTTACAGTTCACACTTGTAGCTCTCTGAGTTACCCCAACACCCCTCCAAACTCACTTCCTTATCGGTGTCACAGTACAAACAAGATAACTGAAAAACTCCTTTCCATAATAAAGTGATTACCTATTCTAAAAACAAAACAAAATAAGCAAAGCCAATGTTTGTGACAAATACTGGGTAAAGAGGGATCAGGCAACCAGGGGTGGTCACGCACACCTTTAATCCCAGCACTCGGGAGGCAGAGGTCTGTGAGTTCAAGACCAGCCTGGTCTACAAAAGCTAGTTCCAGGACTGCCTCCAAAGCCACAGAGAAATCCTGTCTCATAAAACCAAAAAAAAAAAAGGAGGGTTCAAGCATAACCAGCAAACAGGGAAAGCCCTAATTTGGGCTACCAGATCATCCTAAAAACAAGCAAGCATCCAATTTTTCCAGAAGCAATGGTAAGCAGTGCTGAGCCCTCCCCTGGCCTGGCCACACTCCCCCACATGACTGCTGTATACAATCTAGACCTCTCCTGTGACTACAAGCTTAAACTAAAAGGAAGTGTTACTCAATAAGCCACTCATCACTGCTCAGCTCCTCCCGGGTTAGCTCTGTAGATTCTTCAGCCAAGATGCCCTGGACACCAGCGAAAGGCTGTCCATGGTCCATGGAGACCCAGGCTCCCAAGGTCACCCAGCACTGCTCTGTGCCTTTTACACATCACAATGCCAGCAGCTACCCTAACTTACAAGCTGGCCTCCCCTCCAAGCTGCACTCCATGGCACCAGAGGTAGGAAGAAAAATGGCTGGGTATGAGGCACTGGCTCACACACACTCACCTACAGAGCCACAGAATGAAGTGGCATTCCCAAGCCCTCAAAGAACTAAAGGCAGTTTCAATGATTACTTGTACGTGCCAACTTAGCTGGGCAATTTTGTCAGATATTTGGTTAAATATTATGCTAGAAGTTGCTGTGAGGTTTTTTTTTAAGATTAGCATTTACTTCAGTGGATTTTTAGTTAAATAGATTATCCTTTTGGACTAGGTGGGCCTCAGGCAAAGCTATAATACAAAACCACCTGATCCTGGCAGAAAAAAAAAAAAAAAAAAAAGGAATTCTGCCAGGAAACTGCCTCTGGACCCGAACTGCAACTCTTCTGCTACCATTCTACCTACAGATTTGACTAACTGCATCCCACAGTCCTGTGTGCCAATACTCCAAATCAGGAGAAAGGGGAAAAAAGAAACAAGCATGGTGATACATATCAAAATTCTCAGCCCTTGGGAAGTAAAGACTCAGGCCAGCCTGGACTACATGACACACCCTGTCTCAAAACAAACAAAACCAAAAAGATGGAGACATACATGCAGAAATAAAGATAAGTAAATGAGGAAAACACACACTCATGCATACTTGCACTCACACTCCCCAGTTTTTTCTGAGAACTATTACTAATACAAGAAGTCACAGACTTTGCTCCCAGATTCAAAACATCACAGCTTGTGAACATGAATGATGCTGCTTAGAAATGACTCTAACAAGTAGTCTGGGAATGGAATACAGCCTTATACATATAACATTCTAGAGGCTGAATCAGGATAATGTGCCAAAGACCAGCCTGGGCTACATCCAGAGACCCTGCTTCCAAAGTAACAACAAAAGTGAACAACCTAAGTACTCAACAGTGACAGAACCACTTAGCAAGTGAGGGTTCTGCAGAGAAACAAAACCAGTGAGAGGTCTGAGGAGGTACAAATATAGACTCTGACGATATGCTGCTTCGTGAGTGTGAAAGCTGGGAGGTCCAGGAAAGTTGGTGGTGTAGTTCTGGGAATCAGGAGAATCAGTGTGAATCCTAGTCCTTGAGCAGCAAAAGACCAACACCCCAGCTCAAGTTGTCAAGCATGAAGGAAGCTATTACACTTCCTCAGGCTCTTCTGCTCCTGTCAGGTCCTGGCTGACACTACCTATGCTTGAGAGGAAAGCCTTGTCATTAAGTCAATCCATCCAAACACTGATCTCAGCACGAACACTCTTGCCAGATTCCAGAAACAAGGATGTAACCTGGGCATCTCATGGTCCAGTAAGGTGACATTGCATAAAATAAGTGAATTATGTATTAACATGGAAAATATTAAGGTCTGGGGAGCAGCATTTGTGGCCCCAACTCCCTGCATGGCTAACCTCTTTGCCAAATCTCAATTCTGGAATTTTTTTCTCATCTGTATATTACAGCATGGGGAACATGGTCAATACACATATGTGAATGAGAGCAAAACCTTTAAAACTTTTAGATGTATTTTTATTTTATATGTATAGATGTTTTGCCTGCATGTGTGTATGTGCATCCCATGCATGGCACCTGGTACCTGATGCCCAAAAGAGGGCATCAGATCCCAAGGGACTAGTCTTACAGATGGCTGTGACTCACCATGTCGGGTCTGGGAATCCAGCTTGGATCCTCTGCAAGAGCGACAAGTGTGATTAACTGCTGAATACATTCTCCAGCCCCAAAACTTTTTAAACAGGCATAGTCTCCAGAGAAATTAAAAAATGTTGCTATTACACAAACACGAACATCAGGAACACAGCACTGGGGACATTAAGAGCACCATGGCATTTCTGTCCCACAGAAAGACACTTTTACACATGTTCATTCCACACTTTACCAGGAGGGGCTGTGAAGTCAGCCATGATTAGTACCATGTACTCTAGACTGAAGAGAAAAAATACTTAACTGTCTGTGTGTCTGTAAAGCAAGGGTAAACAACAGAGGACTGTGAAGAGCAGCCTGCAGCAGTAGCAGTTGGCCCGTGTGACATCACTCAGGCCTCAGACATCATGTGACTAGGCTCTGCAACACCCCTACAAGTACGTGCTGCCACTGGCTCAGGCCTCAGATGCGGCCAGAGACTCTGAGGGGGAAAGGAACTTATTCCAAGAAAAGACACAGGGAGTACCTAGAGCCTAGGTTGGCTTGCAGGCAAGGCCTACACTGGCCATTCCCCATGAGGCTGTGCTTTGGGCTCCACTGATTTAGATCTACATCTCACCCAGTTAAGGCAACAAGTGCAGAAAAATTGAGCTCTGGGATTCCTATGTTAGTGGAAAGTTAGAGACAGAGGAAACCCCAGTTCACAAAAGCCACAGCCTTTTATGTTTAAGCAAAAATTTCAAAGTACACATGTTGATGCTGATGTTGCATTAAGTCCATTTAAATAGACTGCTTAATTCTCAGCAGGTTAAGGCCATAAAGATCCAAAGAATGAATAATGTCTCCAAAGAAATACAAAAATGAACTATTTTTATGCCTATGGTGCATGTACATGTTCATATGTCCTCATTCACATGTTCAACTGTGTATGCACACATGCCTTGGTACACATGTGGAGATCAGAGTTCAAGTTCATGTATCCATCCTGTCTTTCTACAATGTTTGAGTCAGGACCTCTTGTTCTTCTCTGCTATGTATGCCAGGCTACCTAACATAAAGCTTCCATCTCCCATCTCCTCTTGGGAGCACGGGAATAACAGGGAGTCTGCGCTGCTGCAGCCAGCTGGGGTCCTGGGGATCTGAACTCAGGCTATCAGGCGTGCTTGCACGGCAGGAGGTTTACCCGCTGAAGCACTTCCTCAGCCCCACTCATCTCACTCACTTCCTAGAAAATGTCTGATGTAACTCGATCACTAAGACCTCGAGTGAACTCACTTGTCTGGCGACTTGGAGTGGCCCGTGTGCTTCCTTCCTGCTGAGTTCCTGTACACATCCTCCTCATTTTCATCCACATCATCATCGATGCTTTTCACATCCAGCTTCTGGTAGCCTGACTCCCCATTCAAAGATGCAGAATCAAGTTTCCATGAATTGCTGCTCTGGCTCCCATTGGAATTTGGCCCAAAGGGGCTTTCAAAGGTTGACATGATGTTGATGGAGGAGCTTTCTACAGTCCCAGGAATCTTTTTTAAAGTGTCCCCAATGTTCGGCTCATCATCATCGTCATCAAAAGAGACAATGTTGGTCACCTTCTTCCTCCTCCTCCTCTCCCTTTTACATCTGGCATCTGGTGAAAGAAAAGCTGTGGTAGTATACAGAAGGAAGGCCAAGCTACATTCCCATGGGGCAGCAAAGCTTATTATCACACCACAAATAAACTAAGACTAAATCAGATTTTGTTGGATTTCCAGGTTTTTTTTTTTTTGGAAATAGATTCTTTTTCGTACAATATATTATGAATATGGTTTCCTGCAGATCCTCCCCACCCACTCAAATCCACATCCTTTCTTTCTTTCTCTCATCTGAAAACAAACAGGTATCTAATAATAAGATAAAAACAAACCAGAATAAGACAAAATCAAACAAACAAAAAAAAGCACAAGAAACACACATGGACACAGACACAGACACACACACACACACACACACACATTCACACACACAGAAAACCAGACACAACATCAGAAACCATAATATATAAGCAGCAAAAGACCTGTAAGATCCAAAAAAAAAAAGCCCAGACAAAGCATTATGAGACTAAAAATCCCTTCAAAAATACCACTAAGCTTGTTTTACATTGGCCATTTACTATTGGGCATTTTTTTAAAACCATTTTTAAAGGGAGGGGTGTGTGTGTGTGTGTGTGTGTGTGTGTGTGTGTGTGTGTGTGTGGTATGGTGTGGTGTGGTGTGGTGTGGTGTGGTGTGTAATTTGTGCAGATCCCTTGGAGCTGGAGACATAGGCACTAGGAACCAAACTCTGGTCCTCTGGAAGAGCAGCAAACACTGGGAGGACAGGGACGCTAGAGGCAAAACCTACTATTGTTATTTTGCTAAAACTCACACTGTCAAATATTCCTCTAAATATTTCTGTTTATACCCATAGGTTAGTGATGCTCTCAGCTTTGGTCAGGGAAGTTTCTTTTTTTACTGGGCAGCATTTAATACAGAGAATTATAATTGGTCAAAGTGCTGAGAAGAAGCAACTGTAAGTGCTTAGCCCTATGAGAAATCTTTATCAAATCTACCCACCTCACTAAGGTTCAGTGAGCACCAGGGAAAAGGAGGCAGAAATAGCATAAGATCCAGAAGGCAGGGAGGAATATAAGATGATGTCTGATGGTCATGATATGGCTGTTGTATTAATGGATTTACAACAGTTGTGTTAACTACATAAGACCAAGCCAGTCGCTATTCCAGCATGGCAGAGGAGGGGGTCAAAAGACCTTACCCGGTCTGAGAAGCTATTGACAGTTGAAGGCCAACTGGGAAAGGAGTGTGGCTGCTAAGTTGCCCTTGCTCAGGTGGATGGCCCCACACCCACGCTTATGTAGGTAGCACTAATGGGACTCACTGATATTTTATATATAAAGAGGACATGACGGTGGGAAATGTCAGGGGAGCGTGGGAAGTAGACATGATCACTACACATTGCATACAAGTATGAAACTGTCAGAGAATAAATGAGACATTCTTTTTTTAAAAAAAGGGATAAGAAGAAAAGTTTTAATGGGAGGACTAGTGAGATGGCTCAGTAGGCAAAGTTCCTGCTGCACAAGCAGAAGGACTTGAGTTTGGACATGAGCCCTGAGGAAAGCTGGGCATGGCGGTGTACACCTGTGACTCCAGCCCTGGAGGAAAGTGGGGCATGGTGGTCCTCTGTATGTTGTGAATATATGTTTCTCTTATTAGTTGATGAATAAAAACTGTTTTGGCCAATGGACAGACAAGATGTAACTAGGCAGCAAGTATAGGTAGGGCTACCAGACTAAGAGAATTGTGGGAAGAGGAAGGCAGAGAGTGAGTCTCGAGGCAGACACCATGTAGCTACTGGGAAGATAGGACACCTGGGTATTCTCCAGTAAGCCAAGACTACGTAGAGATACATAGATTAATCGAAATGGGTTAATAACTAAGAGAGAGCTAGCCAGTAAGAAGCCTGAGCCATCAGCCAAAAAGTTTTTAATTAATATAAGCCTCTGTGTGATTATTTGTGACTAAACAGCTGAGAGATCGGGCAGGGCAAGACAGAAACTTCTGCTAACAGTGGTGTACATCTATAATTCTACCCTGGAAAGGCAGAGACAGGCTGATCCCTGGATCTCAGTGACCAACCAGTCTAGTCAATCAGTAAACTCTGGGCTCAGGTGAGAGATGATGTCTCAAAATAAAAGTAAGGTGTACAAGAAGATGCCAAAAACTGACCTCTGGCCTTTACACTTAAATACATGTGCACACAAAATGCACAAACAAACACACGTACACAAAAACAGACAGACAGATAGAAATAAACAGATGGCGCCTGGTGGAGTAGGATTGTAATTATTTGGGGGGGGGGGGGGTTTCGAGATAGGATTTCTCTGAGTAGCTTTGGAGCCTATCCTGGAACAGGTTGGCCTTGAACTCACAGAGATCCGCCTGCCTCTACCTCCCAAGTGCTGTCATTAAAGACGTGTACCACCACCACCTAGCTCATAATTGTAATCTTACTGCTCAAAAGCTAAGGTAGAAATATCCAAGTTCAAGACTAGTATGGGCTACAGAGTCATTTCAAAGCCAACCCTAACAATATGATAAGACCTTGTCTCAAAAACAAAAAGTAAGAAGAACTGGAGATATAGCTGGCTGGTAGAGCACTTGCCTAGTGTGTACAATCTACACTACAAAAAAAATAGATATTTTCTTAAAATGTTTTCAAAGGGGTTTGGGAAGACAAGGAACAGTATTTAACCCCCCAAGTTAACAACCCCAAATGCTCTAAGGGCATCATCAACTTCTGGCAAATTTATCTTAACTGAACCAATTCTCCTTGCCTGCTCATAGTCAAAGCTCAGAGCTATTCTCTTCCTTCAGGCCACGACTTAAATAGCATCCTTCCAGTACAAACCCAAAAGTGTTCTCTATGAAGCAGCCTATGTTTTCATATATACAAGAACAATAAGCTGCTTGTGTCATTTGTTTTTAAATATCACCCCTGTACATCCCCAAGAAGACTAAGCAGGATGCTAGCAGAGTCTCAGCTCACTACTGAACACCAAGTAGAAGTAAATGGTAAAAGAAGTAAATGGTAAAAGATGACTCACCTAGCTTCCTAGGACTGGCTGTTTGCTTTTCTACCCTTTCTGTTGGGTCCCTCTCAAAGTGAATGACTTTGCTCCCCAGGGGAAAGTGACAACATTAAGGTGTGTTCCTCTCAGTCCCACTCTTATTTCATTTACGCTGGCCTACTGTGCCACCTCCAGGGCCCCTTTTGGCTCACCAACATTGACGTTCTTGGATATGACAGGCAGAGGGTCAGTCTCTTGCTCCGGCTTGATGAGAATAGAGACAGCAGAGGATGCTGTGATCTCCCTGAGAAGGCTGCTCATACCCTGAGTGGACTCCTTCAGCAAGGACGTCACATTCTGTGTTGACTCCTTTAAGAGGTCAGAGACAGTGGGAGCAAATTTGCTCTGCCCATTCAAATCTTTGTTGTCAATGTTAATTGCAAAGAGTATAGAGTTCAGACCTGCCAAAAAAAAAGGGGTGGGGGGGGTCTTACTGTCATGCAGTCACACCTCCAACATCAGCAACAAAACAGTCTACAGGGACACAAGGGGACAAACCTCATCTTCAGCATCTATAAAACCATCTGAAATTGGCATTGGCATATAGAAGCTCATGTGAACAGTCTTTCCATATTCCATCCCTGAATGTCAGGAAGACAAATGGCAACAAGAATCACCCAGGAGAAGACAGTGGCAGAAGTTCTGGAGAGAGGCTGCCTGGGCTAAGCCACAGAACAGCCACTTAGTAGCTCAGAGAACTTGGTCAAGCAACTTGCCACCTCCTTGAGCTCTAGTTTCTTTACCTGAAGAATGGTGAAAACAGTAACCCTCTTGGGATTGTGAGTACTAAAGATTTCACCCACCAAAACCTCATCAAGAGCTCAGTGTACACTAAGAACGCCATTACAATTGCTTTATCCAAGACTGACACTGGCATCCTATGACCTACAAAGAAAACCATGGCCAAAGCCTGATTTTCTTGTCCCTAGATGAGACTAACATGACCCTCATTATGAGGACTTAATGTCAGGTTTTAGAAGAAAAAGAATGTAAATGTAACAATAAAGAATTTAGAAGAAAGACAAGCTATCATGTTTATCACCTTCAAAGGAACAGTCAAGCATCAAAGGATTTCTCAAGAGCTATCAACCCAGGACTTAGTTAGTTGCTGATAAGACCTTTTCTTTTCTATGGCTATCTTAAAGCCTCGGAAAGGTGACTGAAAATCTAAGAATGTCCTCACTCATAGCGAAGGAGGTAACACAGCTAATAGGATCCAACTGACAAGCAGCAGAACCAGGAGTCAAGGCAGTCTGCCAATCCAATCCCCAGTTCTTTACAGATCACCTGGCAGGCCACAGCCAAACCCTTCACCTCATGCTTTATCTGCATGGGTATCAAATTCTAGATAAATGGCCCCAACTTTAAAAAGCAACAGTGATGCTTCGAATCAGGAGGACACAAAACATCACAGCACCCTCTTGGGCAAGTAATCCACTCCCAGAACCTCTTTGTTCAGCAAGCTTCTCAGGGCTCATCACTCCTGCCTCCTCCAGGCTTACCAGCTGCCATGGTAGGGAGCATGCTGGACCTTTCTTCATCCATTACAAAAGACCAGTCTTCATAGAATGTGCTGCAAAGCAAAGAGAACAGGGAAACTCTTAAAGGAAGGTAGTTCTTGGCATTCACACACTGGCCAATGATGCCACTGATGGCTCCCTGGAAACTCTAGGCCTGGTCAGCCACAAAGAGGGAATTTTGTCCCTCTCCACTTTGAAGCTTCTCACTAGAAACAAAGGTCTGAATGCACATATCCTATGACTTCCTTCTTGGTCCCCTGAGACTGTGAACTTTAGAGGACTGAAATAGACATATGCAAATGTATTTATAAAGAAGCAAAGCTTAAGACGACAGAGGAATGGATTCCACTCACAAGGTACCCCAGAGACAGGAAGTCCAAGCTCACCAACAGGGCTCACTTGATTCACTAATACAAGAAGAAATCATTTCAAAAGCAATTGCGGAGTTACAAAGCTCCATCAACCAGGACATCCACTTATAAAAACTGCTGGGCTACAAACCCAAAATACAAGTTAGCCATGGAAAGGGCGGGAGGGATTTCAGTAGCAGCTGGGTAGGGTCAGGAAAGCCTATAGGTAGGCAAGGCAATCTAGCCAATCAAAGGTACAGCAGGGCTTAAAATCAGGTCTCCCAAGTCCAATTTCCAAGCACTGTATACAACTCTGTTAAGCAATAAACCAGAGTCCTTAGTGTCAGGTAACAGAATTCTAAGTGCAGTTGTAATAGCATCAGTTCAGTGCTGAGTGGCCTGCAATTCAGCAAGACATGGGAAAAACTAGCTGCTGACGTGACTGACTACAACATTGGAGGGATACAATGGGACAATGAAAAACCACCAAGTCAAGCTACAATTTAACAGGCACCCAATTCCACACCAAATTGGGATCATTTGAAAATCTAAACTAGCTTTCATACATGTAAATGAATCTGGGGTATGAGTGTGTGTGTGTGTGTGTGTGAGAGAGAGAGAGAGAGAGAGAGAGAGAGAGAGAGAGAGAGTCCATGAATGTGCTTACATATGGAGACAAGAGAACAACCTCCAGTGTAATTCCTCAGGATCATTTCTCCTTTTTGGACAGAGTCTTCCATTGTCCTGGAGATCACCAAGTAGGCTAGGCTGGCTGGCTGGCCAGTGTTTCCCCAGAGATCTTTCTGTCTCTGACTCCTTATCACTGGGACAGACACCACTATGCTAACTCTTCTCTCTCTTTTTTTTTTTTTTTTTTTTTTTTTGAGACAGGGTTTCTCTGTGGCTTTTGGAACTAGCTCTTGTAGACCAGGCTGGTCCGAGCTCACAGAGATCTGCTTGCCTCTGCCTCCCTAGTGCTGGGATTAAAGGTCACCACCCAGCTTTCTTCTTCATTGTTTTAGTTTTAGTTCTATTATTGTGTACATATGTGTATGCAGGATATGTGTGAATTTGGGTATAGGTAGAGGTCCATAAAGTTCTCTTTCCTTCCATGTGTGCTCAGCAAGAGCTTTTACCCACTGAAAGCCATCTCACTGTCCCAAGAGTGTTTTTAAGAAAAATCCTAGAATACCCACAGAATCACTGGTAGAACTACCAATAGAAGAAACATTGCAGCAAGGACAGCATGGAAGGAGCATTTGTCTGGCATGCACCAGTACCTGAATCTGATTTCCAGTCAAGAAAAAAGTAAAGCAGAGAGAAGAGATGGGTGGGGAGAACAAGACTGCAGATGCAGAAAGGGAGTCCTGAGCCTGCAAACAAGTGGCAAAACTGAAATCCAGGGACTGTCGGAGTGCTGATGAGAAGCCAGCTTACTACATTAGTGAAATCTGAGTGTCAAGTCTATGTCTTGCTAACACGGAAGTTACTCAAGGTGCCAGAGAGGTTTGACCAAGGCCCCCAGGGTCATCAGGTGACATAAACTGTGTCTAGTCCACTATCCTCACAGGAAAAATAACTGCTAAAGTTACAGCAAAAGACACCATGTCAAGGGAACTCCCACCAAGTTAGGATTATCTCTATATATATTATGAGTGATTTAGTCTTTAAGCCAGTGGTTTCTGCAGCAGTTTCCAATGTTTGTAAGGAGCTGGTTGGCTGTACCATCTTTGGCTCTGCCTAGTGATCTCTTCCCATTGTTGAGGGCTAGCCATGCCACTCCCAGCTGCTTTACTGTGGTTGTGGCTATGTGACCCTCCCTGGCAATAGGTCAGGAGTGGAAGTATCTCTTGGGACAGGAGCCTAAACATTCAGTGCTTACTTCAACAGCAATCCCCTTTCCTACTGTGGGTCTATACATCTTCAGTAGGCTCCAGTCAGCATGGGCTCCAGAAGAGAACATGAAAAAAATGAAAGTGGCCAACTCAGACCACTGAGGCTTCTCAAGTGTTGCTTACTACAACACAGCCTGACCTGCACTACCAACTAAACTTTATACTCAAGAAAAAAAAAAACATGATAAAATGAAGCTTTCAATAAAAACAAAACATGCCAGGTGGTGGTGGCACATGCCTTTAGTCCCAGCACTTGGGAGGAAGAGTCAGGCAGATCTCAAAGAGTTCAAGGCCAGCCTAGCCTACAAAGTGAGTTTCAGGATAGCCAGGACTGTTACACAAAGAAATCCTGCCTCTAAAAAACAATAATTAATCAATTAACTAGTTAATTGATTAATTAATTAAAAATATTTCCGTCCTTAATATCTCATATTCTGAGCAGAGCTAGTTCATGCAGGCCTATAATCCCAGCAGTAGAGAAACAGTGCGTTCCAGGCCAACCTAGACTACATATGAGAACTTCCCTCAAAATAAACAAAAGAACAAACAAGACTTGCATATCTTTGGTCAGTTTAGGATCCAATAAGCTGAAGAATCTCAAATAAAAACTCTTCGGAGTGAGGGTTAGCCTGTGTCCTGGGGCAATAGCTAAGCCTTGATCATGGTAAGCACTGATAAAATCTGGCTATGTGGTGACACTCAGAGTCCCTTCTAAGCATTGTGGCATCAGTTCTCACACCAAGGGAGCAGCTGGCAGGGTTGCAGTGGGGAAGCCCCCTTCTCTCCCATTGAGGGAGACTAGAAAAAAAAAGGTCTGTGTCCAGATTCTTCCACTGTGTCCAGGGCTGTCCTGCTGGGTACCTGAGCCTGGCACGGTCAGCCAGGAGCATGTGCAGGTAGCGCTCCAGGGAGTGCTCGTTGAGAGCGCAGCGCAGCCAGGCCCGACCTCGGCCCACATCTGCAGTGATGTGATGCAGGGAGTAGAAGCGTTGCAGCTCGTGCTTGTTGAGGACCTCCTTCACGTAGAACCAGAACACGGGCTCTGGGGAGAGAGGGCAGCAGTATGTCATTGGGCCTGCATGCTGTCATCTTCAGAGCAATGGTCACTAGGCAACTTTATGGGGTGCAAATGCCATTACTTCCTTAGCACAGATGAAGTAGAACAAATCAATAATCAAAAGTAAACAGGCCTCAGAACCTCCCACACTGCGACTGCCATTTTCAGTTAACATTTTCAAAACCTTCATGTCAGTCTTTTTTTTTTTTTCACCTTTGTTTTTATACAAAATCAACATTTGTAGCAGCTAAATCATGCCGTCAAACATAACTACAGACTAGTCTCTGGAACTAGCCTGTGGCTGTAGCCTAAAGCCACAAAGGAGGGTTGGCAACTGATTGTGTCAATCCCCATGGACACAACACATTAACAAGTGTCTTCATAAGAAGACAGAGAAACTGACCCATGGGGAAGAAGGCCATGTGGCTAGGGAAGCAAAGATTAGACTGATATGGCCACTTTCAGAGGATGCCAGTAGCCACCAGAAGCAGGGAGAGGTGAGAATGGCTGCTATCCTGTGCTATCAGCGGGACCAGCCTACCACTATCTTCTTGGCATGTTAGACCAGTGAAACTGACCTTGGAGAATAAATCTCTTTAAGCCAGACATGGTGCCATGCACCTGCAGTCCTGGCTAATGAGGAAGCTAAGTTAAGAATGTGGCTTGAAGGTGGGGACTGGTGGGGAGTTGAGGGGGAGAGGAGAGAGAGGGAGAAGGAATTGTCATGTGAAGCAGCCTTGTTTCTAATTTGAACTAATAAAAAAAAATAATCTCTTGGGGAAAAAAAAAGAATGTGGCTTGAGCCAAGGAGTTCAAGGCTAGCCTGGGCAACATAGCAAGATCCCATCTCAACAGCAACAAAAAAGTACATTATACAGTGTGTTATTGAATATGTATACATATAATTCTGTATCTTAATTCAGTTTTTTTCTAAATCATGAACATTTTCCAGATTCAAAAGGCCTCAGAACATTTTGTGTTGTTACTTATTCACCCAGTCTGCATGTTGAACATGATTTTCGGCAGTTTCCTGGTGGGATATAATTTAGCTCTATCTTGATTATGAAGAACACACTATGTTGCTGCTTCCCCCTTATACAACAAAGAATATCCTTGGTCATGAATAATCACCCTCATTTCTAGATCCTCAGGAGACCTTCCCAAATGGTGAACTACTTGATATAAGGACAGGAACAAATGTAAGGCTGCAGGAAGGCTAAATAAAGTTTGTTGTGTCACAGACAGCCATTCTTAGTGGCATCTCTTCAAGCCTACCTTTCTTAGCCACATGCACAAATTATTTGGGAGTTGAAATTCTATTATGTATGTAATTTTATGATCAAGTTTCTTTACAACATTGGCTCATTGACACTTCTTCATTCTATTGTCAATACTGCAATGACAGCTGTTAGCTCTTGAGTATCAGCCATTTTCAAACATTTCATAACTGACCTCACTAGAACCAAGGCAGGCCCTGGACAAGTCTCACATAGTTTATGTAAATGTTAATAAGCACAGATGAGCAGGGGTGCGGTGCCAAACACAAGCCACTGACATCACATTTGCCTCTGCCACCTTCAAAATGAGCATGTTCATAACTGCTTGATTTCTAAGTGGGGCAGAGCCAAACAGGTTCACAGGCCCCTTTGAGAATGTTAAATTCATTGAGGTTTCCCTCCAGAAGAATGCAAATGTACACAGCTCCAAAAACTAAACCCAGATTAAGAAGCTCACTCTAATATTTCAGTTCAACTGATGCAGGCTCACTGTATCATTATAATGAGTGTCATCTTTGATAGGCATTTAGTCTAGCACGCAGGACAAATAGGTGACAAGATCATTCAGTAACATGGCCACAGAGCTATGAGAACCTCATAATCCTCTTCCAAGAGCACAGAATAGGTGGCCTGGGATTATGGGCTAACTAGAGAAAAGAGCATGTAGAGTGTTGAGCACAAGGCCCAAGCAGGCCACCCAACAATGGCAGCCTGATGCAAGATAACCAACATCCATGTCTAAGAAGAGGTGCTATGTAGTCTCTCCCTCCCTTTCTGGATCATTAGCACCTAAATGTGTATATATGAGTATGTAGGTATTTGGGGACCCAGCCACCCTCCCAGGTCTTTAACTTTGTTACTTATTTAGTGTGTGTGTCCATCACAATAATGTGCAAATGTCAGAGAACAACTTGCAGGAGTCAGTTTTCTCCTTCCCCCATGTAGATCACAGAGACTGAACTCAGGCTAGGTGACAAGAGGCTTTACAGCCAAACCATCTCACTGACTTTTTTTTTTTTTTTTCAGAATAAACTTCCCAGGATGAATGAGAAAGCGTAGTTCACCCTCAGCCCTCACATGGCAAACTTACCACACCCCTTCTCTGCCTCTGCAATTTCCTGTGATCTAAACCATCCTTTCCCAGAGAGAGGAAGGCTCTGAAGACATACACAGCTTAGGAAACTCCTGATGGTTTCAGGATTCCTAGGGCCCCATCCTAATTCAGAAAGGCAGCAAATACCTGCTCAGGAGAGGAGACTCTTTGGTGGAGCTGCCTCCAAGTTGGACAGAAAGCTCCTGGCACATAGTCTTGTTGAGTCATCACCTATGCTAGGCTGCTTTTTATAGTACAGCTTCCCAAGTCAGCCATGCTTCTCTAAGTAACCCCAATAAACTCACTGGTTCATCAATTAGACTTAGGTGGAGTCATTTTTGGTCTGTTATCACTTCCCTATCTGCTGTGAAAAGACATTTGTTCATGTCCAAGAAAAGTTACATTAAACACCAGAACAGGGGACTCTGGAGAGCACCCTCAGCAAGCAAGTGACTCTCACCCACTCCCTGTCTTCTGAAAAACTGCAGTGACCTCCCTCTGTCCTTGAACACCAGTAGCACTTTAACGTGAAGACTGTTTCACCTTTGAGTTTGCAAATAGCTTACCATGAGCATCTTTTTCAAGTCTGTCAGGGATGCCGGCTGATGATAAGCTTTATCCCAGCAGGGATCCACTTGAGAATTAATGTGGTCTATTTAAAGTGCAGCTCACCTGCCGTTTAATGCAAGCAGTGGCCATAATTTAATTTGGAAATCTATAGCAATCTGCTTTGAAATATGGGGTAAGTTCCAGAAGCATTCCAGGGCTTCCACTTCTCAGAGCACTGAAGCCAGCTGCCAGTAAGAGGTGCCAAAGTGAGCTATCTGGGGGCCTCTTTGCAGCTGACAGACAGAAGCAGCTTTTGGCAGTTTCTAACAGGCCTTGGCTTTCACTGGCAATGCCAAAAAGTCATATCTTCCATAGGCACAGAGGATAAAGTGCTTGATGAGCAAGAGGAAGACCCAAGGTCAGATCTCCAGCACCCATGTAAAAACCCAGATGCAGCTGGACGTGGTGGCACATTGTTGCTGGAGTTTCTTGTCCCACCAGGTCCTGCTGCTGCTGCTGCTGCTGCTGCTTTAGCCCCAAATAAACACACAGACGCTATATTAATTATAAAACTGTTAGCCGATGGCTAGGGCTTCCTATTGGCTAGCTCTGTCTTAATTATTAACCCATAACCTAGAGGTTAGTAACATATGTATTTCTAAATGGCCTTATACCAGAGAATGCCTGGCGCGTCCTGTCCTCTCAGTCTCTACATGGCATCTCCTCGTGGCACCTCTACCTACCTTTCCCAGAATTCTCCTCGTCTCCTAGTCCTGCCTATCTTCCTGCCTCTATTGGCCAAACAATGTTTTATTCATCAACCAATAAGAGAAGCATAGATACAGAAGGACATCATCCCCCATCAGCACATGCCTTTAATTCCAGCACTTAGAAGGCAGATGGAGGTGAATCTCTGAGAGTGAAAGCTAACCAGGTCAAAATATGGACTTCAGACCAGCCAGAACCTGGATACAGGGGTGCGCCTGTAATCCTGGCCCTGGGAAAGCAGGGACAGGAGGATACCTAGGCCTGCTGGTCAGCCAGTATAACCCAGCAAGTGAGTTCCAGCTTCAATGCAAGGTTCTTTCTCAAAACATAAGGCAGAAAGCAAGTAAGGAAGACATCTGACAGGACCTCTGACCTGCACAAACAATTCTCACACACATACAAAATGTGAAATAAGAACATATAACGTGTGAGTGTCAGCCATAGCAAACATACCTGCTGTATAATGGTAAGCAGCTATTGATATCATTGTTACAATGAAGCAAAAGCCTAGTAGAAAGAAACCTCAACAGCATCCTTCTCCTTGCTCTGGCAGCACCCCTCTTTCCTATGACAAACATGTGGTTCCCTATGATGCTCTTACCATGTCCTCTTCCACCCCCAGCAGTGGCAGTTCCCACAGAGGGAGATAATCAAGCCATGTGACAGTGTCTACCTCTATGACAGTTTCATCCCATTCCTGTTTTTAGAGTTGTGTTTTTCATGGGGTACGTATGTGTGTGTGTGTGTGTGCATGTGCATACAGGTGCATACAGAAGTCAGAGATGTCAAATCTCCCTGAAACCTGAGTTACAGGCAATTGTGAGCTGCCCAACATGGTTGCTAGGTCCTCTACAAGAGAAGTACATGCTTTTAACCTGCTAACTATCTCTCCAGATGTGATGAGATAGGGCTTGTTCCCTGATTATCTGATGAGCATCTGCACAGTATTGATGCCTCTGAGCAACAGCTCTCTAGAGCCTGGGGTTGGGGGGGGCAGCCGCTGAGCAACAGCTCTCCCCCAGAGCATGTGGGGGAACAGCAACTAAGCAATAGCTCCCCCAGAGCCTGTTGGGGGATAGCCACTGAGCAACAGCTCTCCCTGGGAGCCTGGTGAGGACAGACCACTAAGCAACAGCTCTCCCCCAGATGCTGGAGGAGAGGAGATAGCCACTGAGCAACAGCTCTCCCTAGAGCCCACTGAGCAACAGTTCCCCTCCAGAGCCTACTGGGAACCCAGCTCACTGAGCAGCAACAGATCTTTTTCAATGCCTCGAAGGGATACAATTGAACAGGGTAAA